ATGACATCAGCAAAGGCCAAGAATGCACGTGACGGCATGACATCAGCGAAGGCCAAGAATGCACGTGACAGCATGACATCAGCGAAGGCCAAGAATGCACGTGACATCAGCTGTTCATAAAGAGCTGCAGAAAAGAAAGTGAGAGAATTAAACAAAGATTTTACATTACAGCACAAAACGATGAAATGAGCTTTTCAAACCATCGAGTGTTTCTGAATCAAGTTCAAGTCAACTTTATTGTTGTTTCCACCACATGTGGTACATGAGGTGGAACGAAATTATTTACACGGGTACGCCCAAAAATAGCAACATATAAAGTGTAAAAAGAAATGGCTAAATGAACGACAATACGCTAAAACAATACGATGCAACAACAGCAGCCTGAACATGAGTCTTTGGTGAGCAGATAGGTATGAATGAATACAGCAGCATGCAATCAGCAGCATGGATAATCAGCAGCATGGATAATCAGCAGCACAAATAAGTCACATATCACCAATTAAAGTGGAATTGCTGTGATTGTTTTATCTTTTTTTTCACAGTGATTATTCTAGTTAGAGATTCATGAGTCTAACAGCCTCAGGGTAGAAGCTGTTCCTCAGTCTAGTGGTTCTACACTTAATGCTCCTCAACCTCCTTCCTGAGGGGAGCGGGACAAAAAGTGTGTGCTGGGTGGGTGGGGTCCTTCATGATGCAGGTGGCCCTCTTCCTGCATCTGGAGGTGTAGATGTCTGTGATGGTGGGGAGGCTGACTCCAACATCTTCTGTGCAGCCTTCACCACTCTCTGCAAAGCTTTTCTTTCTGCAGCTGTGCAGCCTTCACCACTCTCTGCAAAGCTTTTCTTTCTGCAGCTGTGCAGCCTCCATGCCACACATTGATGCTGGAGCACAGGATGCTCCAGCTGAGGTTGTCATTCAGGTGCACACCCAAGCATTTGTAGCTGGAGACCACTTCCACCGCAGATCCTCATGTGCTCGGGGGCGGGGTGCTCTGTCTGAAGTCCACCACCATCTCCTTCGTCTTCTTCACATCGATGTGAAGGTTGTTCTTCCTGCACCAGTTCATCAGGTGTTCCACCTCCTGCCTGTAGCTGGACTCATTGTTGTTTGTGATGCATCCCACCAAACTTTACAACCTGGATGGGTAGGTGTGCAGTCACATGTGAGCAGAGTGCACGGGAGGGGGCTCAACACACAGCCCTGAGGGGAGCCGGTGCTGAGGGTTATAATGGAGAAGATAATAAGGACAATTTTAGGTGGGGATGCAGCCAAAAAGATAAAATGCATTTGTACCACATAATATTAAATAAATACTATGAAACAATATCTTTAGTCATTTCATGAATCAGCTAGTTCTCACAATTTTAGTTGAGCTCATTTGATTTTACACTAAAATTCATGCTCAATAAATTTATCAATGTTCAATAATGCTTCTCGGATTGAGGAAGTCCTTTGGATGAAGGATGAAACGTCTCAGCAAGAAAAAGAAACCGTCCAGATGACCTGACTGAACATTGTTGGATTAATCAGACAATTATAAAAAGTCAAATTTCTTACATTGTTTTGTATTTAAGACAGTGTAAAACACATTATATTTTACAAATGTTCTCATCATCTTTATTTATTTTTGTATTATACAGAAATTCTTGAAATGGCAACTGAAAAAGCACGTTTCCATGGTCAGTCCAGAGCAGCGTTTTAACAAAGCGGGTTTTAAATTATATTTGTGTTATACCTCTGTCTTGTAAAACTTGACAAACACTTCACATAGTAATCACTTTCTGGTTTTGTCCGGCACTGACAAATTATGTTTTTTTTTTTTTTTTTATCTTTTCTGGTTTTTTTTATCTTTTCTAACTGTTCTTTTTTTTTTTTTTTTTTTTTGCACTTTACTGTTTTATTTAAAATTTAGCCAGTGACAGTTAATTAAAATGAACTTTACCAAAAAAATCTAAATTTGAACCTAATACTTTATGATTTCAAAAAGTAACACGTTCGTAAAATACACACATGTAGTTTTACTGCCCTCTAGCGGTTGTAATAAGTACTTTACGTGTGCATCTTATTTTGAAGGCAATCACCGGAAACGCTTACACAGATAAAATTAACTTGACAAAACGGAAGACGTCACCGAGGTCAGGGTGCGCGCGACGGTTGCTGTATTCAGCAGGTGTAGTCAGAGCCCTGGGTGTAGTTATACATAACGTTTCAGTAACGTAGCCATTTTTGTCTGATTGTCTCAAAATAACAATTGTTCTTTTTTTTGGGTCAATAAGAACGTGCGTGTCTCTTCCTGCTGCTGATCGTGACGAGTAACGGCAAACAGATTTCCGGTACAGATTTTCAACACAAAACCTTCCGTTCGTGGAAACATGCACCAAAACACATAGCCGATCCATTCTCGAGCAGCCTCACATGATAGCGAGAAGTAATACTCAAATATCTAGTAGGTTAAGTAAAGTTTAGTACAAGACGAGCGGGAAAAAGGTTCTTTTCGTATGTTTTTTAGTTTACGCGACTCCACCGCGGCACAAGATGGCGGTGTGGTGCGTTCACGGCGTTTCAACGAGACAAAGAAGCAGCGCCGCCGTTGTCGGTATTTAGACGGTAAATGTTAATTTTACTGTGAAGTGATGGTTTGTGTCCGCCTCGGTTAGTTACATAAACGTTATATACATGTTAAAGTATGCCTATACGTTAACGTTACAGAAAAAAACATTGTTGAACCTTCCGGTGCTGTTAGCTCGGTTGCTAACAGCGGCTGCTAGCATGTTTTTGTGGATGGTCAGTTTATTACATCTGTAAGTAATAAAGATGTAATAAACTGTGCACAGGCTTTTTAATAAGACTAAATATTTGTTGTTTTGATCAGCCCGAGATACTAAAATTATTACAAACTAGTGGTAATTTGTGTTTTGATCATTTACCAGTTGTTTCCTTCTTCCAAGTCAAGTCATGTGATTTTTGATCAACTGCCCGGAAACATGAATCGAACAAAACCTCCAACTTTGAGACGCCCTAGTTCTGCTAAAGCATCAGGTCTGACTCTTTCACAAAGACTCCTTGCTTCATTGTCCTGTGAACATGGAGCTGAATGTAAGTGTGGCCGTGTCTCAGGTCATCCTCCACCTGGAGACTTCATCGCCCTTGGTTCTAAGAACCAGGCTGCAGAGCCCAAAGCCCCCCCTGCTCTTCTGAAGCCAGCAGCCACAAGTTTACCTGCTGACCGCAAGAGAGAGGCCACCGCCGCTCTGCCCTCCTCGTCGGGTCTGTCCAAACGGTCCAAACTGTCCAGCACCCCTCCTGTCAGTGCTCTGGGACGCCTGGCTGATGCTGCAGCAGTCGACAAGCGGGCGATATCGCCCTCAATAAAGGAGCCGTCAGTGGTGCCTATTGAAGGTAAATCAGCAGTGCTGTGTGTACTTCTCAGATAGATGACTACAACCCCCCAGTTTTTGACAGACGATGCTCTTTGACAGTGTCTCCAGCTGCTCTGCTGGATGAGATCGAAGCTGCAGAGTCGGAGGGGAACGATGATCGCGTCGAGGGCTTGCTGTGTGGAGCAGTGAAACAGCTGAAGATGAACAGAGCCAAACCCGATGCCACGCTGTACCTCAGCCTCATGTTTCTAGCCAAAATCAAGCCTAACGTCTTTGCAACTGAAGGGATTATTGAGGTGACACTGTCAATATATGTGTATTATAATGTTCTGATGTATTTAAAACTCCAAAGAAACACTTTTACAATAGAATAGCACTCATCTGTCTTATTTTACTCAGATTACATTGACAGAATTGATTAAATACACTTGAAAAATTGTGCAATTGTGGAAGCATCCATCCATCATCATTAACATGATGAATCCCTACATATGCATGAAAAACAGTTTAAATGTAAGATTCAGTTATTTATTATATTATTGCTGACTAAGTCTTGCAGATTAAATGTGACTGTTTTTGATTAAATGTGACTGTTTTTGATTAAATGTGACTGTTTTTGAAATTCTGAATGTGTGTCACTCCAAAGGCTTTGTGCAGCCTCCTGCGTCGGGACGCTTCTATCAACTTTAAAGCAAAAGGCAACAGCCTGGTGTCGGTTTTGACTTGCAATCTGCTCATGGCAGCCTACGAAGAGGATGAGAACTGGCCAGAGATCTTTGTCAAAGTGAGAACATCCAGAAATGAAGATGTCCTTGAAAATATCACAGTTGTGTATTAGAAATCTTCATGTGAAATGTGTCTTCAGGTGTACATTGAGGACTCACTGGGTGAACGGATCTGGGTCGACAGCTCTCACTGCAAGAATTTTGTTGACAACATCCAGACAGCGTTTGGCACAAAGATGCCACCGAAGAGCATGTTGCTGCAAGCTGACACTGGCCGCACTGCTGGAGATCTCAGTGCAGGTGGAGCTCTTCATTTACTTGCTCTGGCTTGAATTTGTGGCATTTTAAACAAGTGCTTGTTAGTTAGTTTCTTGTTGGATCCTTTAGGTAACAGCCCTCATCCCTCAATCCCAGATGAAGACGACTGTCAGGCTGAACTGCTGATAGCTGAAGAGAAGCTAAGTCCGGAGGATGAAGGGCAGGTTATGCCAAGGTATAGATGTAACAGCAGTTGTAGAGTGCCCGTGCAATCTGTATTCCTTCTTATAAGAAGATTTTTTTTCTTAATCCGCTGGGAAACTGCAGGTATGAGGAGCTGGCAGAGAGTGTGGAGGACTACGTGCTTGATGTCCTCAGGGATCAGTTGAACCGGAGACAGCCCATGGACAACGTGTCTCGTAACCTGCTTCGTCTGCTCACGGCCACGTGCGGCTACAAAGAGGCGCGCTACTTGGCCGTGCAGCGGCTGGAGATGTGGCTCCAGAACCCCAAGGTGACAACCATACGCGTCTCAACATCAAACATTGTTCCTGGTTTATATTTGGTTGTTGGCACCGTTGAAATTGTTTGTGCCACAAATGCTCGAGTTCTGAGTCAAAACCAAAACTGTCCATGCTCAATAATCCAGGTATATAATCCAGCCCAATCTAGTTCTGACTATTTTTAACATTGCTGTGGAAATGTAACTTTTTTCATTCAACCTGTTTTTAGAGCCCACTGAGGCTCAGGAACTCATTTACAAGAGACACGTGCCCTCCGACTCAATCGTTCTTAATCTGCCCCCACCCTGGGCCCATGAGCAAGGCCCTGAACCCCCACCATCTGCTCCTAAACAGGTCTCTGTTGAAACTGAGCTCTCGTGGCTCAACGAGACTCCCTGGATAAATAAAGAGTGAATAAAAAATGAATGTTGGAACTCATCACTTGGATCCAAAATGTTTTTAGTGTCTTTAATCCACAGATCAAACAGCTGATTTTAGTGGAGAATCGAATCAGGCGTCTCAGGTCGAGACTTGAATCGAGATCGTTCTCATCCTGATTTCAAATGATGATTTAAACACGTCGGTCATTTTCCGTGCAAAGACGAACTCTCGTGCAGCTTTTAAAAATGTAACCTCCAGAAAGTATTTTAATCTTGGTTGAAATTTTAGGTGTTTTGTTGAATGTAAAAGAAACAAGAAAACATAATAAAGTTTTGTCTGTACACTTTTATTTAAAGACTCGTTTCCTCCAGAACATGTTGTTAGTGACAGTAAAATGTAAAACCAAGACTTTGATCCTGGGACAGTGGTTGATTTTACAACAGCGCAGTGATCATGAAGCTCTTTGTGTGTGTGCACAGCTGACTCGACCAGCTCAGGACCTCCTCATGTCGTTGTGCATGAACTGCAACACGCACGGAGCCGAAGACATGGAGGTGATTTCCAGCCTCATCAAGATCCGACTGAAGCCTAAAGTCCTTCTCAACCACTACATGCTGTGTGTCAGGTGTGTGGAGTGCAGCTCCTTCCTCTTCTCCACTCTTCCTTTTGTTAACTCGTGCTGTTCTTCAGGGAGCTGCTCAACGCGCACAGAGACAACCTGGGCACCATGGTGAAGCTGGTGATCTTTAACGAGCTGTCCAATGCCCGGAACCCCAACAACATGCAGGTCCTGCACACGGTGCTGCAGCACAGCCCCGAACAAGCTCCCAAGGTCAAGCTGGGCCCCTTTAAACAAACCATTCGATCACATTTACATGCACTTGGTTTGTAAGAACATTTATTTTTCCTTCTCTAAAGTAACTTCTGTCTCGTCCCTGTGCATCTGTAGTTCTTGGCCATGGTGTTTCAGGACTTGCTAACGAATAAAGACGATTACCTCCGAGCGTCTCGAGCTCTGCTGAGAGAGATCATCAAGCAGACCAAACATGAGATCAACTTCCAGTCGTTTTGTTTTGGCCTCATGCAAGAGAGAAAGGAGACGAGTTACGTGGAAATGGAGTTTAAAGTAGGCAGACGTTGTCTTGGCTCAGTCCCAGTTCCTCGCTGGTCTTCTTTGTGTTCACACTGGTTCTGCTCTTTATTGGAACGTGTCCTGCAGGAGCGCTTTGTGATCCAGGTGACAGATTTGCTCACCGTCTCCATGATGTTAGGCATCACAGCACAAGTTAAAGAAGCTGGCATCGCATGGGACAAAGGAGAGAAGAAGAGTATGTTGTTTGTGTCACGTGTTCTTTAAAACTGCAACGCTGTTTTCTTCATCTGAGCTCTTTTTTAGACCTGGAGGTCCTGAGGTCGTTTCAGAATCAGATTGCTGCCATCCAGAGAGACGCTGTGTGGTGGCTTCACACCGTGGTTTCTACAATCAGCAAAATCAGTGCAAAAGATTACATTCACTGGTGAGCATCAGCGTTTGATCCTTGACTGACCAACCGTTGACACCCCAGGTGTTCATGCTGCCGTCTCTGTCTGCAGCCTTCACAAAGTGCTTTTCACCGAGCAGCCTGAGACTTATTACAAGTGGGACAACTGGCCTCCAGAAAGCGACAGAAAGTAAGATTTGTATTTTATTTTTTAAAATACAAATCTTTATTTGCTTATTTCACTTGAGGGATGTGATAAACTCTTCTTCTTCTTCTTCAGTTTCTTCCTTCGCCTTTGTTCTGAAGTGCCTCTGCTTGAAGACACGCTGATGCGCATTCTGGTCATCGGGCTGTCTCGTGACCTGCCTGTGGGCCCGGCAGACGCCATGGAGCTCGCAGACCACCTGGTGAAAAGAGCCGCTGCCGTTCAGTCTGACGGTGCGTGAGCATCCGCTCCGGCTGTTCCAGCCACTGCTGTTTGCTTTACGCTCTGGCAGAATGTTTGGACATTTTATAAACACTTCAGTGCACAAAAGAAGAAACTTCCCGTTCGTGTTGTATCTTTGCTCCTGAGGTAAATCATGACAGGAAAGTATGAGCAGAGGGGATGAGGTTTGTTTTGTTTCCTCTTCAACAGATTTGGAGGTCCTGAAAGTGGAGAGGATCCAACTCCTTGATGCTGTGCTCAATCTGTGTACATACCACCACCCAGAGAACATTCAGCTGCCAGCAGGGTAAGCCATTGTTCCTGAATGACTTTTAAAAACACAGACTGGTCATAAAGACTCAAACTAACAAATGATGTTTAATGTTTGAAGATACCAACCACCAAATTTGGCGATATCCACGCTTTACTGGAAGGCATGGCTCTTGTTGCTGGTGGTGGCTGCCTTTAATCCTCAGAAAATAGGTGCTAAAGCCACATTTATTTACTCATTGATACATAAAGTAAGCTGTTATGCATTTGAGTCATCAATATTAAATTCTGAAATGTTCTTTCCTTCAGGCTTGGCTGCGTGGGATGGCTATCCTACTCTAAAAATGCTCATGGAGATGGTTATGACAAAGTAAGTACAAACCAGATTCCATAAAAGTTGGGACACTAAACAAATTGTGAATAAAAACTGAATGCAATGATGTGGAGATGGCACATGTCAATATTTTATTCGTAATATAACATAGATGACAGATCAAAAGTTTAATCTGAGTAAATGTAACATTTTAAAGGAAAAATATGTTGATTCAAAATTTCACAGTGTCAACAAATCCAAAAAAGTTGGGACAAGTAGCAGTAAGTGGCTGGAAAAAGGAAATTGAGCATATAACGAACAGCTGGAAGACCAATTAACACTAATTAGGTCAATTGACAACATGATTGGGTATAAAAAGAGCTTCTCAGAGTGTCAGTGTCTCTCAGAAGCCAAGATGGTAAGAGGATCACCAATTCCACCATTGTTGCACAGAAAGATAGTGCAGCAATACCAGAATGGTGTTACCCAGCGTAAAATAGCAAAGACTTTTAAGTTATCATCATCAACCGTGCATAACATCATCAAAAGATTCAGAGAATCTGGAACAATCGCTGTGCGTAAGGGTCAAGGCCGTAAAACTCTACTGGATGCTCGTGATCTCCGGGCCCTTAAACGTCACTGCACCTCAAACAGGAATGCCACTGTCAAGGAAATAACAGAATGGGCTCAGGAATACTTCCAGAAAGCATTGTCAGTGAACACAATCCACCGTGCCATCCGCCGTTGCCAGCTGAAACTCTACAGTGCAAAGAGGAAGCCATTTCTAAGCAAGCTCCACAAGCTCAGACGTTTGCACTGGGCCAGGGGTCATTTAAAATGGAGTGTGGCAAAATGGAAGACTGTTCTGTGGTCAGATGAGTCACGATTTGAAGTTCTTTATGGAACACTGGGACGCCATGTCATCCGGACCAGAGAGGACAAGGATAGCCCAAGTTGTTATCAACGCTCCGTTCAGAAGCCTGCATCACTGATGGTATGGGGTTGCATGAGCGCTTGTGGCATGGGCAGCTTGCATGTCTGGAAAGGCACCATTAATGCAGAGAACTACGTTCAGGTTCTAGAACAACATGTGCTCCCATCTAGACGTCATCTCTTTCAGGGAAGACCCTGCATTTTTCAACACCATAATGCCAGACCACATTCTGCAGCAATCACAACATCATGGCTACGTAGGAGAAGGATCCAGGTACTGAAATGGCCAGCCTGCAGTCCAGATCTTTCACCTATAGAGAACATTTGGTGCATCATAAAGAGGAAGGTGCCACAAAGAAGGCCCAAGACGATTGAACAGTTAAAGGCCTGTATTAGACATGAATGGGAGAGCATTCCTATTTCTAAACTGGAGAAACTGGTCTCCTCTGTCCCCAGACGTCTGTTGAGTGTTGGAAGAAGAAGGGGGGATGCCACACAGTGGGAAAAATGGACTTGTCCCAACTTTTTTGGGATTTGTTGACGCAATGAAATTTGGAAACAACAGATTTTTCCCTGAAAATGAAACATTCTCTCAGTTTAAACTTTTGTTCTGTGATTTGTGTTCTATTCTGAATAAAAGATTAGATGTTGGCACCTCCACATCATTGCATTCAGTTTTTATTCACAATTTGTTTAGTGTCCCAACTTTTTTGGAATCCGGTTTATAGAAGTTATGAAAGGGAATTAAAGTTTTTTTTTTTTTAAATGTATGAACATTTAAAACTGCTTGTGCTTTTGCATGGCAGTAACTACACATTCCCTCCGTGTACCATCACTGATGAGGACACAAAGACAGAGATGATCAACAGGGAGCTTCAGATCTCCCAAAGAGAGAAGCAGGAGATTTTGGCTTTTGAGAGTCATTTGGCTGCAGCTTCTACCAAACAGACCATCACCGAGAGCAACAGCCTGCTGCTGTCTCAGCTCACCAGCCTGGATCCACAGTGAGACTCCAACAATATTCCACACTGAAATAATCCCTGTGTTGAAAGCACATGCTTGGAAATCCATTGCACTTTAGGAACAATCATCGATATTGTTTGGGTTTAGGGGTCCACCTCGACGACCTCCTCCTCAGGTTCAGGAGCAGGTCAAAAGTCTCAACCAGTCCCTGCGCCTCGGTCACCTCCTCTGTCGCAGCCGCAACCCCGACTTCCTTCTCAACATCATCCAGAGACAGGTGAGGAGCAGACACTCAGGTGCTCCACCCTGACACGCCTCTGCTGCTCCTGCCAAAACCTCATGACCTGAATTTTCCTTCTCGTGCCTTCAAAGTTTTCTTGTTTCTGTCGTAGTCACTGAGTCCTGCTGTCGTACACGAGTCCCTCGTTTATCACGGGCTTTAGGGGACCGCGCCCCCGCGATAAGTGAGAAACGTCACTCCACATCTCCATCCTTCTGTGTAAATAAACCATTTAGATTGAAATAGTAACATTTTAAATAAATGGATTGTGTCTTTAAAATATTAGTATTTAAATTTAAATTGTAGAGAAGAGAAGTGCAGCTAAGGGTTAACTCTTCACGCAGCAGAAATGTTCTTGTTGATCATTTATACTGTAACAAATGATCATAGAAGTTCTAAAATAATTAAAAATAACTTTTAGCACTTTTATATTTTGCGATTATGATGATTTTACGGTGCAACATGCTTTGAATTTTAAGTTGGAAGACAAAAGTCGATCGGTGCAGCTGGACAGCAAAGGGTTAACCTTCACGAAGCTGCTGCATCCGGAGGAGAAATGTGGGCGTGGCAGAGAGCAGCAGGTGGCAGAGAGCAGCAGGTGGCAGAGAGCAGCAGGTGGCAGAGAGCAGCAGGTGGCAGAGAGCAGCAGGTGGCAGAGAGCAGAGATCATGACAGGCTGCACGCAGGAGCAGCAGCTGCTAAATCGTTTCAAATCATTTACTTGAAATAAAAAGTCCGTGCTGCTCGTGTGGCTCTTCCTTCAGTCAGCCGTGTGTCATGTCCACTCTCACTTTGAAAAAACACCAGCGAGGGACTGCTGTGCATGTTCATAAAAACTCAAACAGACAAGCTTCAAGTGCTCCAAGTGCTTGAGATACTCAACATTTAAATCATTCATATTTGGATTTTTGAGCTTTTAAAGTATTTGTGTGGATCTTGTTAATGTTTCACATGTTCTCTTGTTGACAGGCTTCTTCTCAGTCCATGCCCTGGTTGGCTGACTTGGTTCAGTCCAGTGAGGGGTCCCTGGATGTGCTGCCGGTGCAGTGCCTGTGCGAGTTCCTTCTGCACGATGCTGCGGACGACAGCTTGCTTGTAGACGATGAGGACGACGGAGGGAGCAAAGAGCAGAAGGCCAAGAGGAGACAAGTACCATTTTTTAATTCATGTGGTTTTTGTCTCCAGTGACCACAGACACATGCTATAAGTGAAATAACGTGAGCACAAAACAATAAGTTACAAACTGATCCTGATTTATTATTCATTTCTGATAGAGACAGCAAAAGCAAAGGCAGCTACTCGGACGGCTCCAGGATCTTCTGTTGGGTCCTACAGCTGACGAACAGACAACGTGTGAAGTTCTGGATTACTTCCTGCGTCGCCTCAGCTCCTCCCAAGTGGCATCAAGAGTTCTAGCTATGAAGGTAGTCCTGTGGAAAACAACATGTTCTTTGGTTGTGTTGTGGATTCATGCGAACCTGTTTGATCTTTAGGGTTTGTCACTGGTACTCAGTGAAGGAGGCTTGAAGGATGGGGAGGAGCGAGACCAGCCCATGGAGGAGGACTCTGCAGATGCAGAACTCTTGCCAGGCTACCAGTGGTTGCTGCAAGACCTCCCAAAGCTTCCCTTGTTTGATAGCGTCAGGGGGATGACGTCCACGGCTCTGCAGCAGGTCAGTCGGTCTCAGCAGTGAGCTGTCAGGAACACGAGCTTCTTATAAAACCGTGGACATAATTACAAACGTAGCTGCTCTTTTCAAGGCCATTCACATGGAAACAGACCCACAGACCATCAGCGCCTACCTCATCTACCTTTCCCAGCATGCACCAGTGGAAGAGCAGGCTGCTCATAATGATCTTGTACTGGTAAATTCAGCAAGTTGCTGCAGTTTTAGTGCACCAGTTCTGTTTTCACAAAGCAGTCCTGACAGTTTCTATTCTTCCTGTAGGACATCGCCCGGCTGATTGTGGAGCGTTCCACAATCATGAACAGTTTGTTCTCGAAACACTCGAGCAGGCCCGAGTGTGACGCTGTGCTCTCTGCTTTTCTCACCATCTTCTCCACCTACATCAAGAGGATGAGGAAGACGAAGGAGGGCGAGGATCTGTACAGCTGGGTGGGTTGTTGTCCAGGAACCTTTATCATTCAACTACAGGCTGAAAAGCTGCTTTCGTCTTAGTTTCAAACTTAAAAAAACAAACTTGAAATGTTGTTTTCAGTCAGAATCACAGGACCAGGTGTTTCTGCGCTGGACCACAGGAGAAACTGCTACGATGCACATTCTCGTGGTTCATGCCATGGTCATCTTGCTGACGCTGGGACCACCCAAAGGTTCACTCCAGTCTTTGTCTTGTTAAGTTCTTTCATGCAACTCTTTGACCGCTGTGTGTTTTTACAGGAGAGAGTGATTTTCACGCTCTCTTGAACATCTGGTTTCCTGAAAAGAAACCTCTGCCCACTGCCTTTCTGGTCGACACCTCAGAGGAGGCCCTCCTGCTGCCCGACTGGCTGAAGCTGCGAATGATTCGATCAGAGGTCTCTCGATTAGTGGATGCAGGTACAATTCTTCACTGTGCACAGAATGTTTCTGCTGTGGACACAGTTGGACTGAAACAAGAACTGAGCAGTGAATGTGTTTGCTTCAGCTTTACAAGACCTGGAGCCTCAGCAGCTGCTGCTCTTTGTTCAGTCTTTTGGTATTCCTGTCTCCAGCATGAGTAAACTCCTGCAGTACCTGGATCAGGCAGTCTCTCATGATCCAGAGTCCCTGGAGCAAAACATCATGGATAAACGTAGGGTTTACATGCAAATATAGTTGTTTGGAAACTTTAGCCTTATTTACGGGTTATTCGTGGTAAAATGTGTTTTCCTGTGTCTCCTCTGCACCAGACTACATGGCTCACTTGGTGGAGGTGCAGCACGAGCGAGGTGCCACTGGGGGGCACACGTTCCACACTTTACTCAGCTCGTCTCTTCCTCCTCGCAGAGGTCAGTGACCTGTTCGTGACATTACATCATGCTAGAGACCCACGAAGAAGCTGCTTTTCTTTGGTTTATCCTTGTACTTGTTGTTGGAGTGCTGAGTGCATGTCCCAGTGTTGAGGAGTCATGTGTCCCATTTGACAGATTCACTGGAAACTACTAAAGCCAAGGTTACAGTGGAACCCCCCCATGGCTCTGTGAGGATGAGAACAGCCACTCAGCTTCCTGCAGTGGGACCTGAGGATGATCTGACTGGCATGCTGCTTCAGGTGTGTTCTCTTGCTTTGGAACAATTTGGAACGGCCTCTTGACATAAAAGCTGATTCATGCCTGTGCAAATGTATCTAAATAATCATATTAATTCAATCTTCTTGTAAAATGTTTTTTTCTCACTTTCCTAGATTTTCCCCTCTAAAGTGGACCCTCGCTGGCCCGGACCTCCACCCAGTCAGCTGGCCCTGGCCCTGCAGCAGGCCATGGCTAAAGAAGTGATGCGAGCCAAGCAAGGCCCGATTCAGCAGGGGGGTCTGGCCTTTCACCTGCTGCAGGCCATCACCGCCCTGCTCACATCTTCCCATGCAGGGCCTGTTGTCATGGCAATGCACCGCAGCCACGCACTCTCCTGTCCTCTGATGCGTCAACTTCACCTCTACCAGGTTCAACGTACTAACAGTCGGTGCAAAAGCACATATCCTGCTTTAATGAACATCTGGATGGAATATTTTACTTTTACCACCGTTCTTTTTTAGCGTCTTGTGTCCCAGGATGTGGCTTTTGCCTCCCTGTTCGTCAAAGTCGTTGTTGAGATGTTAACGTGGTTAGACAGCCCAGCTGTGGATGTATCTCCGCTGAAGACTCTGCTCAAGTCCTTTGCTGGTCAGAGTACTCTTAAGCACAGGCACAGTGACGGTGAGCACAGCAGCACTTTGGCTTTAGCATGAATCACAAGTGACATGACAAGTGCGTGTGCTCTGCAGTGCGTACAGGTTTCATCCACCTGGCTGAGGCTTTGGCGTATCGCTCAGACACCGAGGTGCCGCTAAGAGCCGTGATAAGGATGCTTAAAGCTAGAGAGAGGTGCAATGCTGAAGCTGAGCTCACTGGCAAAGGTATTTGTGGAGTGAAGAAGTGAAGCAGAACACGATGATGCTTTAAATACTTCACATATTGTGCTCAATCACACAATTAGATTTAGACACAAGTGTTGATTAATGGAGTCATATGGGTGTACATACCCACTTTAGATCAATATTCATGCTCTTTTAAATGTTTAGTGATAAAGGATGGTTTTAATTTTAAAAAGAACAGTGTTGTGACGAAGCATAAAAAGAAACTAATTCATGGTCAAATTTCTAAGTGTTTCTGTTCCATGTGTCAGTGTTACAAGGCTTGATGGAGGTCAAGTCACCATATCTGGAGGAGCTGCTGTCTCTTTTGATGACTGTCAGTACCCAGACTGGGACCGCTGGTCCTGCTGCCATGGTCTTATCCCTGCTCCTTCAGGAGCGTGACGAGCGAGCAGTGAAGAAGGAAGCAGATGTGAAGAGGTGAGCGCTGCAGCTCTGGTTCCCTCTCGGCTCACGAGGAAATGCTTCTCATTTAGCAGACGTCATGATAAGCAGGCCGTGCTGGCACTGAAGCATCTGTCTGTGCCCTCTTCTTTCCACAAACCCTCATTACATTAGTCTCTGCAGGGTTTCTGTAGTTTTTCAGCTTCATGTTGTCAGAGTCACAACTTGTGAAAATCTCATGGTCTGCGTCGGTCCGCCAGTGAAAGCTGATGCAACGAAGAATTCACTTCCATTCAAAAATACTTGATTAATCCCAGAGGGAAATTAAATGTTGTCACTTGTTGTTGAAGCTGCTCAGATGAAACATTTGTTGGAGGACCACATCCAAACAGAGTTCCAGCACTTTGTTATGAAGCACATTTCATTTTCTTACTCTAAAGAGACTCAGCTGGATCAATGGACACAATATTCTCAATTTATTTCAACATGTCTAAAGCTCCTGATCCTCATTCATTCATTCAACCTTTATTTATTGAGACAGGTTAGTCCCACTGAGCCTCCAGGACTCTTTTACAAGAGAGACCTGCTTTCAAACAATCATGGCAACAATAAACGGTCATAAAAAAGCATACGCAATTATTGTTATTATTTTATTTTACAAATAGGAAGGCTAAAAAAAGAAAAGGAACAAAAACAGCTGGATTCTGAGGTGAATGTAGAAAACTAAAAACAGGAACATGTCTGCATTGGTCCCTGCCAGGAGTCCAACAGATTCTTAAAGACACTTAGAGAGGTCAAAGGTCGAGAGTTTCAGATCTTTTTACAAGATGTTCCAGGAAACAGGAGCGGAGTAGGAGAAGGTCCTTTTGTCTAGTTCAGTCCTCACTGAGGGAACACTGCAGGTAATGATGTCCTGAGAGCGCACGCTGTAGCTGCACTCACACAGAGACATGTAGGAGGAGATGTATGAAGGCAGCAGACCAGGAAGTGATTTAAAGATGAAAATGTACCAGTGGGAGAGTCTGTGTGGAGTTAATGGTGACCAGTTAACCAGTGAATACTGGGTGCAGTGGTGGGTACGGTAGTTACAGCCAGTTATGAATCTTAGTGCACCATGATAGACAGCATCCAACATCTGCAGCATCCAACATCTGCAGCATCCAACATCTGCAGCATCCAACATCTGCAGCGTCCAACATCTGCAGCATCCAACATGTGCAGGGTTCTTGTGCTGATTCAGACGTGGCTGTTTGAACTGATCAAATACTGACGCAGGTTTTGTTTGTTCCAGTAGCTCGGAGGTCACAAGGTCTGGTCTGAGCTCTGGTCTGTTGGTGGACTGGCTGGAGCACCTGGACCCTGAGGTTACGTCACTTTGCTCAGAGCTTCAGCAGAAGCTGCTCTTTTCCCTCAACAAGGTAAAACACGTGTCAGTGTGTTGTTGTGCTGCAGAACAAATGTATTTAATGTCACAACCTTGTTCCTGCTGCTCTCAGGCTCGGGGCCCCCCGGCCTACAGACCCTATCTTCTGGCTTTGCTCACACATCAGTCCAACTGGTCCACCCTGCTGCAGTGCATCAGCGCTCTTCTCAGCAAGCACCGAGAATACAAGTGCATGATCTCAAAACTGCCATATTGATGATATTTGTATCAATGTGTCGTACACTGACAGTGATTGAGATGTTTGGTGACTCTTGTCAGACTCGATCCATCGTCAGCTCTGGACTTCCTCTGGGCGTGCAGCCACATTCCTCGTATCTGGCAAGGACGTGACCAGAAGATCCTCCAGGTAGGATGAACACCCTGCTTCCTTTCCTCGCGTCCTCTAATCGAATCTTTTCTGAGGACAACAAAGTGGTAAAGAACAAGACAGAAGCTGATTTGTGGCGGTTTTGTTTTTGCTTGTGCAGAAGAAAACAGAGAAATTTGTTCTACGGTTGAGCTCAGAGGAACTCGTGAGCCTGGTGGACCTGATCTTGTCCGAGTCGGAGCTCAACTCCTCACACGATGATAAAAGTGGCCTGGACCAGGCTTCCTGCTCTCTCATCCAGTCCAGACTGCCCCTCCTGCACTCGTACTGCGATGGAGCTCTGCACAACATCCACAAAGTGTCTGTTTACCTCATCAGCTGCACAAAGAAGTGGGACGACAGGTAAACTGTGACTTCACTGACATTTTACCTTCTGTTCAGACTCACGCCTCATTTACTCTCGTTCTTCTTTGCAGCCGTTGTTTCACTCACATCATTGTCTTGTGCACAGTTACATTCTTCTTGTTCTGTGATATTTAACATATGTGACTGCACACACTTCAAGTCACGTCCACGTGTCCAACGTCCATGATCAAGTTTACTGACAGTTAGTGCACGTGCAGCTTCATAATCAAGACTCGCCTGTAAAAAGTAACGTTCACTTTATTTAAAACAAAACAGTGAATGTGTTCTGAGGCTTCGTGTCAATAGTTGTAAGTTTTCTCTGCAGGACAGAATCCAACGGGGGGTCGACGTGTTTCATGCACATCATGTTTCTCCCAACTCGGTCCGTGTGTGTTGAGCAAAGTGGAAAGGTTTCTCTTGTTTGTGCTCGCTCTTCTCGTCTCTGTCACGTCTTCAAACTCTGAAGGATTTTTCTGTTTTCTGTCGTTCATGACTCGGCTCGGTCGCAACACTTTTCTTCCAGCACAGATGAACTTTTTAGACTTGCCGTCAGCCACAATGCTTTGGAGCAGGGAAAGCTCAATAATTAGGTCTATTGGTGTGAAATTAAACCCAGCAGAAGTCGTGTGTGCTGTGATCTCTTTAAAAGCTCAGTGTATTTTAATGAAGGCGAGAGGATTAAGGCTGGAGCTCTAAACTCGCCCGTGTGGAGAGTTTGTGCTCTCACTGAGCTGTCAGAGATCACGTGCAACTCTTTGTGGAGGCAAACCCTCCTTTCATGAACATGTCTCTGCTTATTAAACCACTTTAATGAGGAACTTTGGACAAGGTCAAGCAAAATTAGCTTCACAATGACAGTATTTTAAGTAGCGCTAAGCTTTCTGCTCAAATAGTTGTGAGAGAAAACATGTTGCAAGTCAAAGGTTTGGGCCTCGGCTTCAATGAACATCCCAGTTTACGTTCAGCTCTCTTTCTGCGAGAGCTCGCTGGCAGATAAGCTGCTGTTTATTCCACTTGCACACAAACTTTGGAACAACTCAACAAACTCTTCACTTTTGTTCAAGGTCGCTCTGATTTGTTTCAAAGTAAATCTGTAATAAACTCGTTAATTTCTGGAGTTCCTCACACGACAAGAGCCTGAACCAGTAAGAAGATTTGAGAAGCTGCGGTGACTTCAATGCAGATACGTCTGAATGACATAATGCTCTTCATCTTTAGTTTGTAATAATGTACGTTAATGTTGTTGCTTGTGCACAGAAACAATAGAGGCGGCTTGATGTGATCTATAAGCTCTGATTACACGTCAGCTTTGCTACAGTTTAATTCAGCACAAGTGTGTAAAATACACAAAAGCTTTGTTTCTGAAACTGATTCTTAGTGTCAGTGCAACAATAAGACCAAGCTCGCTTCAGCTGATCAGCTTTGGGAGGGTTGCTATGGCAACACTAAGCCAGCTCCCATCAGTGAAATGGCCTCCAGCTCCACAACCCTGCTCACTAAAGATAAAAGTTTTGATTACTTCCCATTCATCTTGTGTCATTAGGGTGAAGATGGCATCGCTCACTTTTATTTTATTTTAATTTGTCCCTCAGTGCCATGAATAAACGGTGCCAGAACCTGCTGCTGCAAATTTATCTGCACTTTCCAGAGGTCATCCAGCACGTCACCCTGCCTGCAGGCACTTTCAGCAGTGGAGGGGCTGCAGATGGCAGCAGCTGCAAGGTGAAGATGCCGTACCTGCTGTAACTGTACCGTTGACAGATATAAATATGATCGAGGTGATGTATTAAAAGCTGTAGCTGCCATTGTGTTCATGCATTACGTGTATAAATATGAGTTTAAGTGTTGCAGAGCAAACCTGAAACACTAAATGCAAAGAGAAAGGGCTTTAGTGGGAATGATTAGTCTTGTTGGATGCATGGAAGGAACAGGATTGATTTGAAAGCAGCACAGTGCAGAATGTAGCGTGAACATCTTGATGCTTGTCAGCTGGACGTCCTCGTCCATCGTCTGGTCACATTGCTCGCTGATGTCGGAGACTCGAAATCTGCTGAGGGACGTGCTTCTGACGCCAACCTTGCCTGTAGGAAGCTGGCTGTGTCGCACCCCGTCCTTTTACTCAGGTATTAACTTTTGTATTTTCTAGGCTTCTACAGTTACGTCTCCTATCACTGATGATGGATTCCTTTTCCCCAGACACCTGCCCATGATTGCAGGGCTCCTTCACGGCCGCATCCACCTCAACATGCAAGAGTTTCGGCAGCAAAACCACATGACGTTCTTCAGCAACGTGCTCGCCATCTTGGAGCTGCTGCAGCCGCTTGTTTTCCACAGCAACCACCAGAGGGCGCTGCAAGACTGCCTCCTGTCCTTCATGAAAGTCCTGCAGGTGCTTTGCCTTTCACTTCAGTGTTTAATAAGCCACAAATCCAAGTTGGGCTTGACTGTTTGTCCACATTTTATTGTGCAGAACTTTCAGAGGAGTCGTTCTCCGCTGGTCTTCATGAACAAGTTCCTGCAGTTTACACAAAACTACATAACGCACGACGCAGCAGCAGCCGTTCCTTTTCTACAGAAACATTCAGACGTTTTACAGTAAGTCAGAGCTGTGCCTCATGAACGCAGCTTGAGGTTAGCACATGTTAAAATACTCGTGGTGTTCATAAAATACGTTTTAATGTTTTAGGAGATTGTGTGCAGAAAATCCCGACCTGGTTCAGTTGAAGTCTCTGCTTGCTGGACTCACTTTGCCAGTGAGCAGCTCTTGTGCAGAGGTCACAGCAGAAGAGAGGGATGGTAAGCACCGTTTAGTTCTTAGCCTTTGTTTCTATTGGCACACGGAGGTCGTTACAAAACCTCGTTTGTTCAAAATATCATGAAGTTTTCAAACAATGAAGCTGGCAGCTCCCACGTGTGTCCTGTGGATTGAAATGTGTGGGTTGTTTTGTTTTCCTCTGGAGAACTGTCTCTACAAGAAGGACGTTCATCCTAAATAAATGTTTCTGCAGACGATGTGTCGACTGCGTCTCTGCCTCTGGTCAACATATCTGCCTCGTTTTCTCTGAGTGCTGCAGATTTGACCACGTACTCCAAGAAGATGTCTAAAGGAGAGGCCGTGGAGGGTAAGACGTGCACGAGGCTCACCTGCAGGATTTTTCAAACTATGTCAAATGACTAATATGCCGACTTTCCCTTTGTGCTGTAGATATGTTGGAAGTGTTGACAGAAGTGGATGAGAAGTCGAGGAGGAGCCCAGAAATCATCCAGCACTTCACTGTGAGTCACAAGAAAAGCTCTTGGTTCATCCGTGCTGCCGTGAAACGCCTCACTCACCGGTTTGTGCGGCTGTTTGCAGAACGACCTGCAGAGACTCATGACTTCGTCGGAGGAGCTGAGTCGGAACATGGCCTTCGTTTTGGCTCTGCGCTGCATCCAGAATAATCCCAGGTAGATTAACGACAAATAAAGAAGTCAGATTACATTATTATTTAAGTTTCCTTCACTGACCTCGTTTCTTGTGTTGCAGCCTGGCGACACACTTCCTGCCAACGTTCATGTACTGTATGGGCAGTGGGAACTTTGATGTGGTGCAGACTGCGCTCAGAAATCTTCCAGAATATGTTCTTCTTTGTCAAGGTACGATTCACATTATTCTGCTCCACGACAATATGGAGTCGTCCATATTTATTTGAGACAGTGTTGCCTTTTGTTGTCTCTGCAGAACATGCAGACATCTTACTCCACAAAGCGTTTCTGGTCGGGATCTACGGACAAATGGACACCAGTTCAGTGATCTCAGAGTCCATGAAGGTCCTTCACATGGAAGCAACAACTTGAAGACGCGTCTCCTTCACTGTCCTCACTTCCTGCATTCCTCACGTGGCCACATGTCCTGTTCAATCTTTACACGTAAACAGCTACAGCAATAAATGATTTCCACTGGAGTTTTATCTCAACAGGTTCATTCATCCGGGGAAACATCTAACATAGAGATTCATACGTTCATAGTTATGTGTGACAGTTTTGTAATTTCATTCAGAATGAGAAGTTTTCTTAGTGTTTCTATTCAAAACTAAACCGGGCGGCACGGTGGATCAGTTGGTAGAGCCGTCGCCTCTAAGCGAGAAGGTTGCCGGATCGAATCCCGGCCGGGGGCCCTTCTGTGTGGAGTTTGCATGTTCTCTCCGTGCTGCGTGGGTTTTGTCCGGGTGCTCCGGTTTCCTCCCACAGATAAAAACCTGCATGTTAGTCTGATGGTAACTCTGAACTGTCCCCAGGTCTGCGTGTCCCTGTGATGGACTGGAGACATGTCCAGGGTGTCCCCCACCTCTTGAACACAGTGACTGCTGGAAGTTGAATTTTGAAGGCTGCATTTGTGCTCCTGCAATTGTTAGTTTAAAAACATATGACATTAAATTGCACGTCATGTAATAAAAGTTAAAAACTGTTTTGGCCTCAGATGTTTCAAAGTTTGATTAAAAGTTTACATTCATGTGTAAATGCAACTATAACACTTCATTAAACATTTTCTCCACATTACTAAAATAAATGGATACGTTTATCTTTTGTAATTTTGTTAAATTAACCGTTTTTTTTATTGTTTTTATTTTAGAAAGAATATCCTTGACCATATTACATAAAGTTTTTGTATTTAAATCTTTAAAAGTAAGATGTCAAAATACATTTTCACCCAAAACAAAGTAACAAATTCCTTTAAAAGAATAAAAACTGAGCACGGTTGGTGCGCCGCCTTGTGGGACACAAATTATACTTTTATGAGTTTTTTACTCTTTACGTTTCAGAAGTTAATTTTGCTGTTAGAAAACCTTTGAATCAGTTTAATAATGAAACTAAAAACAGGAAACTCAAATGTCTCAGAATAATATTCAGCGCGTCAAATACCACTGAGCAAAAAACAGTCCAAGAGTAAATTGTTCCATTCTGTTCCATTAAGACCCGGATTGTGATGAACCTGAGACGTCCGTCAAACGCTCGCTGGTCACCGTACGGGAAACGAAAGGAGAGCCGTGATGGAAACCGTCCTGACATGCGAGTTGTTTGGACGTCAACTCAAACGTCTTGAAGGAGCCAAAGGAATAAATCAAATGGTGTGAGCTGCTGCTCCACAAGAAAGTTCATGATTCCACTGGTGATCGACAAACTGGAGATAAAAGTTCAGTTAGACCAGAGGTTTCTTTGAAGGCCTGAGGTGGACGCTCAGCTGCTGCTGGTGTTGAGTTACAGAGCAGGATGTCTGGACGAGGACGCAGCACAACATGGGGAAGACATGACGCTGGTGAAGATGTGAACATGGGGAAGACGTGAACATGGTGAAGACATGAAGCTGGTGAAGACATGAACATGGGGAAGA